GTAACAATACGTTTTTGAAGATTAAATTTTCTTCGACAGATTCAACGTATATACAACAACTACACTTTCGTATCCGACATACTCGATTTTTGTGTTAATTAAGAAATTTATTAAATTGTATTTAATAATTTATCAAAATTACCTCCATCGAAGTATATTACAGCGGTTGTACGTGAAAGATAACACAGCTGATCTAACTTATGTGCAAATATTGTGTTCTTTTCGCAGTTCGTTAGAAAAATTACATTTCATTATAAATTTTTAAGCTACCAGCAAACTCATATGTATTTCGAAAGTGAGAAAGAATGTGCTTCACAAAGACCAAACCACACGTGTAAAATTTCTGGATTCAGTCTCCAGCATTGCGTTTAACTTGTTTTTGTACATTTGTGTTTTTTAGGGTTAGTGTCCAATAGGGTGCACTTTATTAAATGATATGATACGTGCAAAACATACATAAACAGCTTAATAGAACATATCATGCAATTTGCCATTAAATACATACATCCATTTCAGGATTATTTGCGCTTGTATAGAATAAGGGGTTTATGTATTCAGAGGGATAAAACTTATTTCATTGTGTCAGATACTATGATCTTATTTTATTTCTCCTTTGGAACAAAAATAATTAACAGCGTATTTTGAATCGTACGCAATTATCAAGTAAATACGCAAAAATGGCAAAAGTTAATTTTTTCTTTCAAGACATTATTTTCAAGTTTGCAACAGATTAAGAAAGATTAAAATTAATCAGTTAATGAAGACGTGGAAATATTTTATGTATTTCCCACATTAGCAATAAATAACAAGGCAATAAATTAGCAATAACAAGGCAATAAATAAAAAATTAGCAATAATAAATTTTATTAGCAATAACAAGACAATAAATACAAAATTAGCAATAATAAATTTTATTAGCAATAACAAGGCAATAAATAAAAAATTAGCAATAATAAATTTTATTAGCAATAACAAGGCAATAAATCAAGATTTTCCGAATTAATTGCTGTCATATTTTTGTTGCACAAATCTTTAAATCTCTCTCTCTTTTTTTTCTTTTTGAAAAATTGAATGTTTGCTGATTTTACCATTACAACTTATTCCAGACCACGATGTTTGACTGCATAGGATGTAGGATGAAAGCACTACTGCTTCTGCTGTTAAGCGTAGTAGTGTCATCTGGTGCTAGAGGAGGAGGAGGTAAGTTTACAGTAAATTTCTCGTGTTTTTTTTTATATCCATTTCAGAAACAATTTTAGAAAATTAACAAAGAGGGATATATATAATATAAAGTTAACATAATTTCCATTTTCCACACTATTGTTTAAGACCACCTGCTTCTTTTTCGTAACCACGCCCAATACTTGTTATGCTGTTAGAAAAACAATATTTGCTTCCTGTTATGTGAAGGTATTTAACCTTGTTGTTGATTGAACAAATACAAGTATATTTACACCTAGCTGTTCCCCTGCTTGTTAGTGATGTGTACAGTAAGAGTATTTTCCAAGATCACATACAATTATATATATAAACTCGTATTCGCTTCTAGGTCGATTATTTGCATGTTATGCTAATTTAAATTGTATGTATATTCTTTTACGGATATGTGAAACTTTAAATGTAAACGTTTTTTTCTTGTATACAGTCTGCTTGTAAACACCGGTAACTATATAAGTAGCACCAATATAGGAGACGGACATTACAATTACAATGTCTTGTCACGTTTACAAAACTAGTGGGACGTTTTCTTGTGTAATAGTCTTAAATACACAGGCCTTGCCTTGGCAATTACACTATGACTAACAACCCTTTACAGACAGTAGATCCTGTTCTTCAATTTTGATTTATTATTTAATTACATTGTGGCTGCCTCGTGACTTTCTTGCTCCTATCCTAGCGCAGCACACGCCACAAGTTCCATTTGATAAAAAAAAAACAAGCTTTCGTTTTCCCGAGTGAATTGATAGACACTCGTTATAGTATGTATGACGATTATAGCGTTTTTAATATTTATGGTTATGTATTTTTTGATGCAATTGGACTGGAACAGTTTTATTTACAAGAGTAAAAGAAACGGGAAGGAATGTTGTTTATTCACGAAAAAAATGTCTTCCACCTTCTAACAGTCATCTGAAAGACGAAAGAAGTTGTAGACATAATGATAAAATCATTGAAATATTTAGTTTGCTATTCTAGCTTATATTTAATTCCCATTGTTAGAGCTATTTCATTTTCCCTGAAAGAGCATTACAGTTATCAAACACGTGATTCCGAATCAGTATTATTTGGAAATTGAAGTTCATTTAAAGTCTTACCAAAAACTGTAAGTAATGGTAAGAAAGGATCCATACTCACATTAAAATTGTGTGATGGATTTCCATCACTTACACGGGAGAGTTGTGATAAAGGAATGCTTTACGAACTGAATATATTGGTAAAGTTTGAACTTGCTATTTCGGAAAAATCAATTAACAAAGCTTATTAGTATTGTTTTTATACAATTGAGAACGAGAACCTATTGATAATCACCAAGATGTTACAAGAAGCCACAGCCACGCACACTTTTGACTATATGAATTCACATATTTAGTGGTTTGGATACTGTAAAATGTTCTCAGAGGAACAAGAATGAGCTCACGTGGATAGTTTACAACACGCGCATATTCATACATGTAAGTAGGTGTAATTCAATGGACAGTAAAAAAAAAGGGACTTTTTACGATTAACAACCACTTTACAATATTAGTCCAACTTATTGCTGGGTATTTGTTATTTTATTGCAAACTATTTATCACGATTTAGCGAGATACGGAGTAAAAGTTTTAAACAAAATCTGAACGTGAAATGTATTTTTAAATATGGTTGTATTATGTTATTGCTACCAATACGAAGTTGGTAAGATCGGTAATACGAACGCCGTTGATAAGCTGACAAATTTTATTACCATTTCACGTTTATAATAACTAATTAAAGGCCTAGATTAATGTTTTACATAAATCAGTACAATTTCTAATATTATCACAGTTTGATTTTAATATACAGCTGTTAGAAAAAACTTAACCAATCAGTGGGTGATAGTTATTGATACAAATGCAGTTGTAAGCAGAATTTCATAATAAAACAAGAGAAACGTCTATTTTTATTATTTCATTTTTATAAAGGTATGTCACTCTCATACCAAATCCTCTGACTAGTATTACCTTTCAAACAAAAATAAGTTCTATTTTCCTCCAGAAATGTATACACTATTTCTACTTACATAGGTTTAGATGTGAAATATGTACATTTAAAGTCACAATACATCGTATGTATGAGCTTATTATTGCTTTTGTCCAAAAACAATGGGCATAGGCTAAGTATAAAACCGTTTTAAAACAGATGATATAGGTTAGGAAACAACAGGAAGAAGTCATCATACCTAACAGGAAGAAGTCATCATACCTAACAGGAAGAAGTCATCATACCTAACAGGAAGAAGTCATCATACCTAACAGGAAGAAGTCATCATACCTAACAGGAAGAAGTCATCATACCTAACAGGAAGAACAACATTGCACATTTTGTGTTCTAGTTTCGTTTAATCCGCACACACGCACACTGTATGCTTTCAGTACCAATCAAACTGATATTTAAAATGTCTGGTACATCGTCTACACAGACAAAAGGGTTAGTGTTATAATTATAAGACCGTGAAGACAAGTCATACACAGGTTTTTACTAAACAGGTGATGCTTCGTTTTTGAAACATGATAAGAAATAAAATGGTATTTATGATTAGGATTTGAGTAAAATTGGTAATTTGGATATATATATACATATATAGATATATATATTTATAGGTAATAAAAAAAAATACTCAATGCTGAATTATAGTTTTGTGTATGCTTTACACGGATGTTCACTTTTTAAATGTCACTTCTCATAACATTGTGTTAAAAAAGAATTATTTTTTATAATTACGCTTTGTTGTTCGATACAAACATTTGGCGTTGTGTAAACTTAAATACTGCGTATATTTTAGTGTATTAGTACCATATATAATACATGTTGTTAGGAAACGTTGTGATATTACGCATATAGGAAGTTAGCCACGACATATTTAAAATATTTACATCCACTTATTCATAACATTTTCGGCCCTCTATAGTCGATGAGCACATTTGTTTTTCTCAGCGATGCTTTAGAAATCTAACCCTTATTTACGAATAAGGTGTTGACAATAGTACGTTGATTTATTGACAGTTTCCTGGCTTATCTTGTTTCACAAACCGATGATACAATTAGCATAATAATTTTAGATTTTTCTAAACTTAGTTTATACCATTAAATTTCGACTGTGCTATTCCTTATATGAAACCAATTCAACCGACACTTTCTTGATGAACAATTTCAAAGACTGAACTGCTTGCTTCTAGTTTCGTGATAATGACGTCAACATCCTGAACGGTTTATACCATCTCGTGAGCACGTGTGTACAGACTTTCCAGATGTAGTGGTAAATGGTATGTTGTGCACATGTGGTGACGTCAGCTTTTTTTTTTAAAGCTACCGTTTTTTTGACATTTTTTTAAAAGATATATGCTGGTATTAGTATAAACGTATTTGACACGTGTTTACTTGTATAATAGTATATACCATCTATGAAGAGAAACTCACATCCTAGTTCAAAGTTGAAAGGAAGTAATATAAACCTTAATTTTATAGCGGTTAACTAGGGTGCAAGAATAGCTCATGATTCAATTCTTGTTTTCATAACGATTGAAATACACTGAGAAAGATATCTGTCTTCAGCTCCATTAAAACTGTTTTATATTTCATTATCTTTGTCTCACAGTACGTCCAAAAAGTGGGTCATAAGTTGAAAAGAATGTTGAATGGAGGTTTTTTTAATAGGGTTTATTGGAAAGCTGCCACATTTGAGAATCTGGAGCAACTTCTTTACGTTTTTCTGTCTTCTTTGTTTATCTTTAGAAATCAAAAGGCATAATTTAACTTTGAATATTACGAAAATCACAAGATCGGTGTTCAATAGAAAACCATGCGGGTTTAATTTTCTATATTTTACTTCCGAATTTCGCGCTAAGCTCTATGAGTAATGATTTTGTTCCTAGTCTTGAACTGATAGACGAGAAGAAAGGCGGCTAGTTTTGTTTATTTGTTGTTAAGCGCAAAGTTACGCAATGAACTGTCTGTACTCCTCCAATCGCGAATATTGAAACCCGATTTTTAACGTTATAAGCTCGCAGACTTACATTAAGTCAACGAGGAGGGGGGGGGGGAGCTAGTCAACCGCACTTATAACCAACTCGTGGGCTACTTTTGTCTGATCGAATAGTGGGATCTGACCGACACTCTTATAGCGCACCTCCGGTTTCAAAATCCGGAGATCCTCGGGTTCAGAGGTTGGGCACAATAATCAATAGATCACATTGAGCCCAGTTTTCGAAGGCTTTTTTTATGTACATGTATAGGTTCTCTGAGCAGTAGCACGTAAATTGTTACAAGTGTATCATTAGAAATATTTTATGCGGGGTCACAAAGATCTCCAAGAATTTAAAACAATAATACAAATTTGTTCAAGAAGCACTCGATTCGAAATCTGCAGGTCGTGAGTTCGAATCCCAGCCCCAAACATGCTCACCTTTTAAGATGTAGGGGTGTTATAATGCGATGTTGTTGGTAAAAGAATTGCTCAAGAGTTGGCAAAGGGAGGTGTTGACCAGCTGTCTTCCTTCTAGTCTAACTTCCAAAAGCAAGCAAACAAATTGTTGCGGAAGGTATTATTGTATTCAAAACGCCCCCCCCCCAGTGGCACAGTGGTATGTCTGCGGACTTACAAAACCGGGTTTCGATACCCGTGGTGGGCATAGCGCAGATAGCCCATTGTGTAGCTTTGTGCTTAATTCCAAACAAAGAAAAAGAAAGAAAGAATGTATTCAAAACCTTCCCCTAACAACGAATCGTTTGGTTCCATAAAGCCCTCACCCTCTAGTAGTTAGGCTTAAATAATTGTTATATCATATGTTCATATGTTTAACAATTCTTAATACATTAACACAGTAGGAAAACTTAAACGTACTGAAACTGCTCATTTGCCACCACAATAATGCAATTAAATCATTTAAAATTTACTATGAAACACCGTTACAAATTTAAAATATCGCCAATACTCTTACAACTTAAATAATTAACTAAATAGTG